CCGACGCTAATATTCCAGCCAATCCAGCAGCTACAAATCTGCGTCTCGCGCTGCTTTGTTCAGCCGGTGACAGCGAGCGCACAGACAGAGTGTCGTGAAGATGCATATTTTTACGCTGCTTGATTTAGAGTCGTAGGGTCGGCCGCGGTTAGACTGAGACGGAGCATTGAGGAGGAGATCGAACAGTCACGCCTCTAACGGCACGCTTCAGCTGTGGGGACAACAAACCAAAGTTTCTTGTTTGTTTTTGATCAGCGATATCGAAGATGACGATTGGAAGGCCGCTCCTCGTGCGACCGAAGCGCTGGTAAGAGCCAAGCGTTCGTGTCCAGACTGTGCATGACGAGGTACGATTTCTCTGTCATGCTGTGTGGTAAACACCGAGCAGTGGGGACCAGTAGTTTCCCTACACCCCCCCCCCCCCCCCCCTTGTTTTTCCGAAGCCACTTCCTGAATTCGCAACGACGTCTCTATTCTCAATGCCCCCCCCCCCCCCCTAACACAATTTAGAGACCCCCCTAATTTCAATTCCTGGGGGAACCTTTGGGGGGGGGGGGGGGGGGGAAACAAGCTCGATAAAGCGCCCCCTATATTTCGATCTCCTGCCCAGTAGTGGATCCCCGACCCACCCTGAGTGGTTAAAGACGCTAAAAGAATACGCGGCAAAGCGGTGGACACGAGTGTCTCGACGTCGCCGCGCGTTATAATGACGGAGAAATACGGGGAGAGCCTTGAGAATCTTCCGGTTGCTTGGCAGACAATAAGGCCCAATTAAAAAAAGAACCAACAAGGAAGCAAAAAGCAGGCCGCACCCCTCTTAACCTGTAACTGTATGGAAAGCGGAAGTTCGTCTGCTTCTTTTGCAAAGGTTGTGGTGGCGTCAGAACCCCGAGCTCTGATTGGCTCCAGCTCGAGGATAGTGGGGAGACCTCAAGGCAAGTTACTTTGAGGTCTATCCCCTATCCTTCTAATCGGAGGCATTCAGAGCTCGACAATCTAACGTCACCACAACCCCTGCAAAAAGAAAAAAAAGAAAGAAAAGAAAGGAGACGAACTTGCGTTTTGCATACAGCTTCGCGCCCGTTGTAAAAAGCTGCAACGTGAGGTAGGTCGAGACAACGCCGACGCGAGATATGCGTCGCTGCGTGGACCCACTAGTGATGACGTCGAAAGAGAAAAGGCCATTTTCTTATCGGTGGCCTTGCGTCAACTGACTTCACTCCCTTCTCCGGATGAAAATGTGTGAACCACCTTCTACTGACGAATAAGCCATCGTCGACTCTGATACCCGTCCGGGTTTGAAGTGCGGGGGGAGAACTGTATTTGCATAGAGATCCGGGACGCGCACCATGAGAGTTCCCGGATGTTTGGAGCACCTTCGAGAATTCACATCGTTCCCTCGGTGTAAGTTTCACTACGATCCGAGCCGAGCCAATCCCCTCCAACGGCGCACTTGGCGACGAACGCGTTCTTTCGCCTGGGCCCACCGCTCGAACCACGATGGCCAAAACCCGACACGAGCCTGCTCCAGCGGCGTCAATGTTACGGATACCCCCGTCGCGTTCTACTGGCGTTCTTCTCGTCGCCTCTGACGACGGATGGCTGCGCCAAATAAACGTCTCCGAGGAGACGAAGGCGGCGGCGGCAGCTTGCCCGCGGCGGGAAGCCCGTTTCCCGGGCGACCGGCAAGCGGAGGGCCGGCGTTGGCATGTCGGCCGCTGGATTGCCATGTCTGTCACCGCATGGGAAGAGATATTGCAGGCGCCGTGCGTCTAATGGCCAGGCCGCCCGGCAGGACGCAGCGACAGAGCTGCACCGGGGCCGAGGCAGACCGCCTGGATTGTGTTGCCGCGTCCCAGCGCACGCGAGCCCCCGCTGCCTCGCTGCCGGCGGCGTCGGCGGTCGGGCGGCGTTAATTAGACCGCCTCGGTTTCGGCCAGAGCGCTCGTCAATCTACCGGGGCACGTTTCGGGTGGCCACGTTTCCGGGCTCGCTGGAGCGAGAGGGCTCACTCGGACGGGGCTGCTCGCCGAAGATGTTCCCCGGCGGATGTCCTTTCGAATGCTGCTCTTGGGCAGCCGCTTCCGCCGCGCGGTGTTTAGCCTGGAAACGCTGCCGCTTGTCGGGATCCTTGAGTTGCTTCTCTCGAGTTGGACGTGGCTCCCTGCGGCGGTTGAGCAGCGAGGCTAGGCGAACGTGGCACCGCGCAAGATATCTTCGTGTGTGTGTGTGTGTGTGTAGGCGTTGTAATTGGAGATTGAGGGGGAAAGAGAGGGCCAATTGGGTACGCGCATCCTCCTTCGGCTCTTCGCCTGGGAGAGCTTATCTCATTGGGCCAGGGGACGCTGGCACGTGACCGAGACATCTGCTGAATGACCAGTTAGAAAGAGTAGGGGCAGAGAGTTAGGTCAACGGGAGGCGCGGGCAGAACCAGGGCGTGCACCAGACGCAGAAAGAGGGCTTGGGATGCTCTCTTGGCCAACCAGAAGCCTAAAAACATCCACTAGCGGTGGTAGCGAGAAACTGTTTTAATCATGGGTATCCGTTGGTATACGGTTTCAATTTTCAACCACGAAGGGTTACTATAGTAACCCTTCATGGTTGAAAATAGGGTGCGCGTGGCGTTTCTATCACGATCACACAGAAATATGTAAGAAACGAATGCGCCGCTCGAACTCTGTTTTGCTCGGACAGAGTGCGACCGCTTGGACGGCAGATTCCCGGCCCTCGGCGCTTGGCGTATGGATCATGTCGATCATTTCGCTAGTACCCCTCTTCCACCATGATTTTAGATTGCCGTGATTGAAACATCGCGTGCAAAATAATTTCAGTCACCGAGAAATAATCTGACGCACTTATTAAGTTTGTTTCTCGCGACCACCGCCAGGGTATTATTTCCGGCTTCTGGTTGGCCACATTCGAATTTGTGAAGACGCCCTGGAACACTCCCTGCCCGCTTTCGGCCAATGGCGCCTCCTCATTCGTCTTCTATACTTCACCCCCAACGAATGGCCAAACACTCTACATATACGGCTCTGGGGCACGTGTTCCCGCAAAACAGCGTTTGCTCGTTCAAGGAAGGAGTGCCGCCATCCCGCTCGCGCGGAAGGCGCCACCCGTCCATCGGACGTCAAGCGATAGACGAATTTGATGGAGCGACCGGGAAGGCCACAAATGTTAAGAAGACGTTTGTCGTCTTTGTGGCACCAGGTACTCGACAAAGTCTCCAGCTTCACCAGCAAGGCAAACGACGAGAGAGTAAAAAAAAAGAAGAAACATTATTTCTAAAAAGGATCGAGGTGTGCGCCCTGCGGTCTTGTCTACGTGAGCACTTAAGAAGTCACACTCAGTGTCCAGCAGACACCTGATTTTTCTCCGGGTTTGCCAGTTTCGTCAGTTGTCGGGCTCTGTACCTGGATCAGAGTGTTTAGCTACACGCGGGCTCTTCAGGCGTCAAAACTTTCCGTGAGCAACGGACAATAAAGAAAATAGCTTTCCCCCTTGAAACGTTGTGGACAGCGGTGCGGCGTTCAACTATGGTGCCATGGAACGTGTCTCCGACTCGTGTGTTTACCGCATCCTATAATGTGGTCCCTCAATTTTCGCGCAATGACGCAACAGAAATGTTATGTTCTCGGCGGCCCCGACCCTGGCGGTGTCACTGCAGTAATGGTAGCCGCGGCAGACACCTCTTCAATTGCAAGTCACTGTCCAGCTTGACAGCCATCAGCAGTTTCGGCAGCCAACAGTTGGAACGCCACGACGACACTCGCGTTCATTCGTACTAGGTATTTGCTCGAACGATCGACCGCCTGGATAGAGGCATCCGACAGCATGGCACTCCGCCTTTTTGTGTCACCGTCATTGTTTTCCCCCTCCGGGATCATTTTTGACGCATTGGCGCAATGGGACGCTAAACACACCGGTTCGAGACGCATTCCAGCCACCGTACGTAGTTCAGGGGACCTGCCGCGACGCAATTACGCTGTCGTTGCGCGTTGCATGCCTGCGACGTAATTTCCGGACCTCGAGCTTCCCTCCGGGACGCGGAATGTGAGAAACCGGTATACGGATGGGGCTGTAAAATAACCCCGTCCTCGCGCAGTGCTCTCAATACGCGGCGCTCAACCGCAAGGCACTGGGAGACTTTATGGGGTCTTCGGCAATACCTCCTAGAAGACAAGGCCTGCTCATGACGTCATTGTCGGTGGACCGCCGACCCGCGCCCCAAGTGACGAAAACGCTACGCTCTGCGAGGATCGCCGCAAATGGTCAGACGCGTCCGTCTCGGCGTCGCCGCATATATTATCGTTGCGTTCGCTGTGAGTCGCTAGGAAACGAATGGTGCCGATGCCCACGCTTTGTAGGTCCACTACTAATGACGCTTTCAGGGAGGAGCCCAGGCCTCATCTTCGACGTGGTATTGGTTTCGGTGCGGCCCCCGTGCACCGGTAGCGATCGCAACGTTGGCGCGGTCAACGTTTTATTATCGCACCACGCAACATCTCCCCCAGAGCCTAGCTAAACTTAAGCTACTATGCCGCTATATTGGTGAAGTCGGGTTTATTGCTCCCCTCGCTTCCACTTAATCAGTCCTTGCGAACAAACCCGGGGCACAGGGAAAGAGAAGACCCACGCAAAAGTTGCGCGCGCGCAGCAGTAAACTGGGACGCATAATCCGTACACGCTCGATTTATTCTTACCCCTCTACGATACTTTCTTTTTCTTTTTCAGCCGCAGGTGCCTTGCGCGGGCGGCGACACAAGCGAGAAACTACGAGATACGGCTCTGAAGAAAGCCCGGATAACCGGCTGTACGAGACAGGTCATCCAAGACCGAGCTCCCAAAAACAGCCGTTCCCATTGGCCGACCGAAAGACGATGGGAATGGTGACGCACGCACCTGGCAGGTCAGCATCACCGATGCTGGTCTTATACGCGACACCCACAGTGCCCTAGGGATCCCTCCAAGCGCATCGCGGTCCGACCCCCGGAGCAGCAATGGCGGCGCCACTGAGGGCGGGCGACTGCCTCCAGACCAACGACAGCCTGCTGGACTGCTACTCGTCCCTGCTGGTGGCGAGCAATGCGAGTGCTGCCAACCAGAGCGGCGGCTTGGCCCCTGGCCACGTGTACTTCGAGTACCCCGAGGAGATGCTGGTGCCGTGGGTGATCAATGAGTACTTCTCCTTCATCGTGGTCACCTACCTCGTCACCTTCGTGGTTGGCGTCAGCGGCAACCTGGTAGTCGTGTCGGTGATGGCCGGGGACAAGGCGTCCCGCAACGTGACCAGCGTGTTCCTGGTCAGCCTGGCCGTGTCCGACCTGCTCCTGCTGACCATCTGCGCGCCGCTGGACGTGGCCCACTACTTCGTGATCCACTGGGACGCCGGGGCCACCATCTGCAAACTGGCCGCCTACGCAGAGACCGTGTCCGCCTTCGCGTCCGTCCTCAACATGGTCGCCGTAACGCTGGAAAGGTAGCACCACTCCGCTGTCTCAGCTCGGGCGTCCAGTCAGGGAAATGCCAGAAAAAGAGTGTTCCAGAATACAATTGTGTGTAATTTTTTAAAGCGCAGCTCTTCGGTGCCCGCTTCCGGTACAGCGACGTCACCATCGCCATTAGCATAACCGCGTGACGTCACATGTGACGTCACGTGCGACGTCACGAGGGACGTCAAGAGGGTCACGAGTGACGTCACAATGGTCATGAGGCTCACCAGTGACGTCAAGAAGGTCACGAGGGTGACGATCGACGTCACATGCGACGTCACGAGGGTGACGATCGACGTCACATGTGACGTCACGAGGGTCCCAATGGTCACGCGTGTGACGTCACTCCCCTTTCCTCCTTCTCCTCAAAAGCAGCGCTCTTATTCGGCATTACAGAGAATTTTGAACGTCTTTTATTTTATTTTTTCCAGTGGGAAGTTAGTGGTCACATTGCTAACGCATCATGCAAGAGACAGTCTGCCAACACTGTCTTTGGCGTTCCTTTTGTGACGGTAACATTGGTCATAAAAAAACTGTCTGCTAACTTTTCGAAGCATGCATTTACATGAAGCAAACATGCTTGAAACATGCCCGAGGAGTATCCGCAAATACTTTTGTTATTATGTCTGCAGCGAACATGATGTCTTTTGTATGATGTATGCGTAGTGTGACTGCGGCTTAAATGGTGTAGAAAGCTTGCTCCAAACACCTACACCCATTCCAACACATTTTCAGCACCCTCATTTCGGGTGTACATCCATTTGAAGCGGAAAATGGTGTGCTGCTGCATGGAACGCCCTTCATAAATTGACAAGAGTGCGAAAAGGGGAGGGAAAAGTGTGTCACAGTAAAGTGATTATTTTTTGAAGTGCGTTCCCCTTCAAAAAACAACTTTAGCGGAGATTGCATTACCGACTATATCGAAGAATCTTTCTGCATATTAATTATCTCTACTTAGAGATACCATTCCCCGGTGCTAGATATATCTTACTTTACGTGAGATATTGATGAGTGCAACGTAACATACTTGCCACCTAAGGGTGTTCCTGTAGCACCCTTAGAAGTTTTGGGACAAGTTGATTTGCACTTTTAAAGGGCAATTCCGGTCAATATTTTTTTTTAATTTGAGGTTTGGCTGTGTTTAAGTAAGGTCCCTAAATTATTAGGTTTTTTTTTACTTGATATAGGGTGTAGTTTTATAAATTTAGTTTCGGACGAGTACTGCAAAACCGAAACTATCTGCTAGAGGGATGGCAACACTGACCATCAGCCGTTCGACCGCGACGTGACGTCACGCTGGTGCTGCGGTGCGTAGTACAACCAATCAACTGCAGCTCCACCATGACCAACCATGACGTACGTCACAAGGGTTCTGCGCCGATGTTTCTTCACTAAAAACTAATCCGCCTGCCTCCCGCTAAACAGCAGCTGGTCGCACCATTAAAATCGGTTTTAGTGGAGTACGCGGCTTCCCTCTGACGTAATATTTCGGCTATTTATCATATTTAGTGACACTAAAGCGATGAAAGTAATTGCTTTCGGTTTCGTTTTTGACCGGAGCTGCCCTTTAAGTTCGTAAAACGTTTTGGTGTGCAGACAACGGACAATGAGTAAGCCCTAACGGGCGTCTGTTGTCTCCGCTGATGTCTGTCTTCAAGGGTGTCTCCGCGGGAGTTTGTCGGGCAGATATTTGCACGACAGTCTCCCACCCCTTCCGGAGCATGTCACCAAAGTAGACCGACGGCGTACCGTCCTCCTCTTGCCCAGGTTCGTGGTGATCGTGTTCCCGATCCACTCGCGCACCGTGTGCACCATGAGCAACTGCCAGCGCCTCATGGTGGGCGTCTGGGTGGTGTCCCTGGTCGTCGCCCTGCCCATCCTCTTCGTCAAGGTGCGTGCACAATGGCGCCCCAGCGCAGACAAGGCCTGCCCATGACGTCATCACTTGTGGATCTCCTAACCGTCCCAAGCTGCAAACACGATGAAGCTTTTTAATAGACCCTGCAAGGTGGCAGACGCGTCCGTCTCGGCGCCGTCGCGTGCTGGCGTCGTCGCGCTCCTTGTGGTAAGGCGCTGCGAGACGTACGGGCGACGACGCTGACGCAAACCAGGGAGTCGCGGCGTGGATCCACGAGTGATGGCGTTTCGGGGGAAGAGGCGCAGGCCTTCTCGTATACTTGGTATTGTCGTATACGTGGGCACTCACTCGGCGCACGTGCAGCCAGTCTTGTACGTGACGCATTACAAGGAACGCGTTACTAGTACCGAGTTTCTTTTTTTTATAATGAAGCGGAGACCTAGTAAACCTTTATAAAGAAGGAAGGGGTAACGTATTTTCGTTAATTTTAAATAAAGTAACGAGTAACGGTATTTTATTACTTCCCGAGGGGAACGTGGACAACACAAGCGCCCAACCTACCTCTCACCCCAGCTCGCGCGTGCGGTTTGCAGCGCGAGAAAATGCTAGATAGATCATAAAAAGACGTGCCCAAGATATGTCAGTATAGAAATAGTTAACCCCGAATGAAAGCGTTCGAAAGTGAGGAATAATTAACGACGAACAATACTGCAAGCTGTGGGACTAGAACAAAACTGCAAATTGGAACTGTGAAGAATGCGTTTGTACTTGAGTTTTGGACTTCGAAAGTGATGAAAGTCGGTCTTGCGACTTTGGCAGCTTTCACGAGTGACACTAATTGGAGTCTCGCAAAGTCTAGATTAGTTTTTTTTTACTACAATTATAACTTCTTTTTTGCTTTGAAACTTTGTACAGGGGGGATAACGTTATCTAGACCCGTGTCTTGTATTTTATTTTATGAAATTAGAATTTTTAATCTTGCACCTTTGAAAAGATTGGGCCAAGTTTGATTCGAGATAGCTTTCGACGTGCTATTATTCAAGGCATAAGAAACATATCAAATAAAAGCTTGTATCTAAGCACATTTAAAAATATATTGTTACTTTAAGGATGGTCTATGTAAAACATACAACAGTGTAAACTTGATAAGAAAAGTTACAAATACAAAATTCTACTTCATAAAAGAAATAGAAGGAGTTTTTTTGTGTTTTTAAATATGCAATACGATTTATTTGATACAGATATATGGTTTCTTCATATTATGCAGTGCGCCTGAAAAGAAAAAGACATCTGTACATCCATTCTACGAGCATAGCTCTGTCATTTCCTTGTTTTACTTTAATATTAGTAATTTTTGGGACATGATCATAGTTTTGATTGCTTTCGAGTCCAAACACAGTTCGGTACAACTTATACAATGATAGTATTTATAGTACAATATAGTAAGGGGTTCTTCCGCACGTTTAGTTTGCTTACATAGTAAAGTACAGAAATCAAAACTGTTTGAAATGATGTTTAAGCGTTGTCATAGGATATTAAAAAAACATGTATAAAACATTTTTCAAAGTTTTCCATCAGAGCACTCGCGCGGAAACCCATTCCGAAGCGACGGCTCGGCGAGCACATCAATCTACAGGATAAGACTGCGTATTTGTTTTCTTTGTTAAACCTATTTCGCACGATAGCTAAGCTAAGTTCGTTTAAACCTCCCCACCTCCGTTTTTATTTTTGGCACTTCTATGTTTGCGAAACCAAACGTTGCAAAACTCGCCGAATTATCTGATGCGAAACTATCAGTTCTGATAGCTTTAGCGCCGCTTCCGCGCTTGCTTTCAATTTATCTGCAATGTGCACGTCTTCCCTGATATCCCCTTTTTATATTTACTTGTATTTGGAAAAAAAACACCTAAACTGTTAACGAGAAAAGAGTCAAAGTACAGGCTAGCTGGTGGAAGTCAACCATTTCGTCGTTTGCCCTGAGACTGGTTTTTTTTTTTGAAGAGCCGAAGTAACAGAAAAAACAGACGTGATATTCAGATTCACGGGATAAAAATACTCCAGAATTCATCCCTAACTCGTTTTTTTAAGAACCTTTTTAGCTTCCCTCTAAGGCTAGAACTGCCGCATTTCCCTTTTCTTAGGTAGCTATCGTGATCGTTGGTTAAGTACAGACAGGGTCACTACGAGGATTAGAAGCGACTATATTCTGTTTCACCTTATGTTGTACCGCAGCGAAGGCTAGGAGCGCGAGCTCATAGTGTTGGCAGCTGCCCTAAATGCACGAGAGCTTGAGCCGCCGAGATGTGCCCTAGACAACGTTACTAAACCACTCAGTTGGAAAACTGCCATAGAGACTGCTCTGAAAAAAGTGTCCCCGATCTGGTCCTCGAGCACCGAGCTCATGGCGAACACAACGCCTCCACTTCTTCAGCAGCGGCCACTCGAGGAACTGCACGTGACGTCTATTTCGGCTTTAATCGGCCGTTTTGGTGCCGAAACCGATACAGCTGAAGAGGTAGGGGTGCCACCCCCGTTTCCCCAGCGCACGCGCCGCGTCTTACTACCGAAGTTAAAATGCCCCTGTATCACCCGCTGTGATGTCATGCACGATACAGCACACGCACTGGTTGCTCTGAGCACAGTTGAAGAGTGGGTGGAAGAAAATATCCCAATATTTACAAAACTTGTCCACATCTCTTAAGGGGAAGCTAGTCATTGCAAAAATAGGTTTCAAGCGTTCGAGATGGCGAAGAGTCAAGAAGTAACCAAATAGATTTTTTGCAATTACGGAGCACAGCAAAACTCAGTGTGATGGCGTGGGGGATTCCTCAAGCATCAAGCCTCCATCCATTGACAACCTCAGGTCGTCCAAACTGGAAACCCTTGGAAGTGCTATGAGTTTGCTCGTGCAGTGGCTCCGAAAATGCCCGGAATCGTACTCTTCAAAAGTGAAGCAGCATGCCTCACCCAATACTGTGAGACATAGAAAAAGGAATGGAATTTTGTGAGCCCCGTGAAAAAAGTTCAGACCTGCCACTTGTGAATAGAGGCTCAAAATGGAGGCAAGTCTTTCATAGTTGTGATAAAAAAAAATGCGATTCCTCAAGAGTTATCACCTCACTTACTTAAAATCACTTTTTTTTTTCTCACCATATGCGTTACTGTGAGCTTGTAATACTAGAGATGCGAAGTAATGTTATGCATTTCCCACCTTTAATTCCGTGATTTGTTATTGTCTCAAATAAAAAGAAAGTGAGGAAAGTTGGAACGAGCCTAGTTTCTCGCCAGTAAGTATACGTGAAAATGCGGCCGCATGCAGGAACCAAAATTTCGCACTCGGCTCGCTGGGATTTTTAAAATAATTTATCTCGTACAATTCCTTGTCTGATATAAAGCTTTTTGAAACGTAAATTCTTATGCTTGTAAACTATAAAAAAAAGAAGAAAAAACGCTTCAGTAAGTTTATTAAAAAAAATATTGAGAATTTAGAGATGTAATAAGTAAACTGGACACATGAATGATCTTTAATTTAATTATCATAACATACCAGTCACACCTCGGTTTTACTAAATAATATACCATGAGCACAAAATAATATAAACGCTAACGTAATGTTCCAAGCATATATAAAAAATTACGTAAAGTATTTGGCAACGGCCCATATCTTTTCTTCTTAGAATGAAGGGACAAATACGTGTTTTCAAACGCACTGCGAAATGCAAGGAAACCATACATATATTTAACGACACACAACAAGCATTTCATTATATATATATATATATATATATATATATATTTGAAATGCTGCCCACCACCTGTGGGCAACGTCGCCCACAGGTGGTGCATTTTTACGGAGGAGCTGTTAAGGGCTAGTTTCCCCAGGATCGTGTCCGTCCTCAAATGAGCTGATGACTCAAAACTCTGGACAGTCATCGCCATCTATGAGCGACGGCGGCAACCAGACCACCGGCGTGCCGGTTGTCTGGTTGCCACCGTCGTTCATAGATGGCGGCAACCTTTCGAGCCTTTCCAGTCTGCAGCTTCGCTGGTTTTCCTTCTTCACCAGAGTGGAAAGGCTGAACGTTTTTCTATAAAATTTGCTTTTCCCTCAGGTAAGCTGAGGGAAAAAGCAAAAAAAGAGAAAGGCTTAACTCCCGTGGAAACGCAGAGAAACCACCGGTCTTTAAACAATGGGGCGCCCTATTGATTGAAGACCGGTGGCTTCGCTGGGTTTCCACAAAAGTTAAGCCTTTCTCTTTTTTTTCTTGCTTTTTCCTTATGCAAGTTTTCTCTTTGCAAATTTCATAACAAAAATGCACCAGCTGTGGACAACGCTGCGCAAAATCGCAGCGCGATAGGTCAAGAAAGTGAATTTAGCGGTCGATATAAAGAGTCTAGCCGCTTATAATATATATATATATATTTTTTTTTACGACGTTCAATTTTGTATTTTTAGCTTTTCTACTAAAGGTTACAGTTTTGTTTCTTCTATATAACCTATATTGAAATTACCTATATTATAATTTTTTAAATGGGATAATATATGAGCTTTCATTTGATATGTTTCTTATGCCTTAATAATTGTACATCAAAATCTAACTTGATTTAAACTTGGCCCACTATTGTCAAAGGCGCAAGATTCAAAAACTTTTCTTTCAGAAAATAAGATTTTAAAAAAACATTTTCTGGGGAATATTAACCCTCCTGTATAAAGCTTTAAAGCAGTACAAAAGCTATATGGTTGCGAAAGAAAAATAATCTAAACATCGCGAGATTCCAAAATGTGTCACTCGTGAAAGCGGCAAGCATCGCTAGACCTGTATGCCTTCTGCCCTTACGAAACCCCAGACTCAAAAAACAATATCTTCCGTAGTTGTAATATGCAGTTCTGTTTCTAGTAACACAGCAGCAGCAGCACGGGTGCGTAAAAGGTGTAATTAGACGTGTCTTTAATCAATCAAACAATTATTTTCCACCAACATACTTTTTTTTTCTAAATTTTGTTAGGACTTGTATTATTTTTTCTTGCAGGATTCGAGATGAAATTAGCCAGTTACTTCTTGAGCGATTAACCAGTAACGGCATTCAGTTAGTTTATTTGAGGAAGGTGTAGTACATGTCTGTGCGGAACCAACTCGACCTCGAGATACAATAAAAGCGCCCTGTTAGGTGACATGGTCACACTTCCGCTGTAGCCTTTGGTAACTTTTTTTTTTTTTTAGTTACTTTGTGACCGCTCTGCGCGTCTTAGCTTTGTCCAGTCGGCTTGCGGTGATCGCAATGAACCTTTTTTTAATAAACCTCTGCGCATCCGTAAACCTTCTCTCTTCTTGTTTTTGTTTTTTTTTTGTTTTTTTTTTTAACATTTTTGGAAGGCACAGTTACGCACGACGAACATTGTCGAAACCTATCTCGAAGCATTTTCGGTAGTTTTTGACGATTTTTTTTTTTTGTGCAAATCGGTCGTATGGAGCATAAAAAGCGATGAAAATCGATGCAACGGAAAGATTCTAATTCGTTCTGACAGGCGGAGGCATGTTGGGCTTCCCTTAGTTCGTTTAAGGTTTAATGATTTTTACGTTGCTGCTCTTAGGCCTGGACGCCACGCGTGACAATGTCTCTAACGGCTCCATGTTTACTCGTTGTGGCAGAACGCGGTGCAGACGACGTTCACGAACCTGCGTGTGAACGTGACCACCTTCACCTGCAAGGAGCTGAAGGACTGGCGAGGCCAGTCGGTCGCCTGGTACCGCTTGGTGACGCTGTTCGCTCTGCCGTCACTCATCATGGTCGTCTGCTACTCCTGGGTCATCCTAGAGCTCTGGGTCAGCACCAAGACCATGGATCAGCTCACGCAGTCCGCCAAATTCAGGTAGTTCCAACGAGCAGTTCACGCCCTCAACTCCCAGCCAGAACAAGCGGCCAATCAGAACAGGCGGCATATAATCGACATGAAGTCGATTATATGCCGCCAAAGTTGATCACAGCGCCACGCTGAGGTTGGCAAAGCACTGGAAATGCGCCGAGTTCCAGACATTGTAAGGTTCGGCTATTGTCTTCATTGTCACGATTTGATACGAGCCACTATCTGAATGCTTGTCCAGCAATCGATTACCACGATCCCAAATTGAATCCTCACGCAAATCTGTGGTTTAATCTATGAGCATAGCCGCATTCCAATATCGTCACTTGGGGGGACTATGTTGACATAGCGATCCCCCCCTTCCCTCCCTTACCGCTACGTAATCAAGTTTTGCCAATGAGATATTGGAAGAAAACGCGCTCTTTTATTCTCGAAATTGTACCGCAACAAAGAGGTTTCTTGGTCAATGGCGTTGCGTGCGAGTATACTTAGATCCCAATAGTGCCAGTAAACTCCCGTAAAAAAAAAAAAAAAAAAAAAAAAAAACTTCGAATTGAATATTGTTGCGCGCGCAGAAGGTAAATTCGACATTTTTCTAAACCTCAATGACCTCCGTTTGCCCAGATCAGTGCATCAAACTTGTTAGATACATCCACGGCATATTCCTGAAGTACGCACTAAGTTTGGTTGCCGAAGGTATACACTGCCTGAACTACTAAATCATCCCGAATCTCTTTAAAGCTAATCATGTCGTTTAACAACTAAAACTGTGATGCAAAAAAAAAAAAAAACTTTTAGTGGAACGAACAGACACAGAAGGGAAAGACTCAAACTTAGCTGCCTGGTTTATTTCTTACGCATGCTATAAATACCCGCACAGTCACTCTCAACCAACTCCCGCAGATATCTCCTTGTTGAAAGCATTTTCCAATAAAAAGAACATTCACCTACACAAGGGACCAAACGGTCCAACCCAAAATACCATCACTGTCAACCACTTTCCACGTTCCCTTCTGTGCCTGTTTCTTCGACTAAAAGCGTTCCTCCTTTTCTGCTCCAGTCTCAAGTGCTAACCGACACGATTAGCTACAACCAGCTCGCCTGCGCACGTAGTCTTTTCTCTATAAAGTATTGTCACAACTCTAAACGAAATTGCCATATACTTAACATTGTATAAAATACATTGTCTGTATAATTTTTTAAATCATTATAATGTTGTTTTTTTTGTGTCGTGTTGTCGTTGTTTGTCTTGTGGGGCACCGACGGCTGGTCAAGCTCCGTCACTGCTCATTCACACTGGAAGCGGATCCGCGTTCACTAGGCGGTTGTGAACGCGGTTGTATAAAGATCCAGTACAACTGCACGCGCACTTGATGTCATCGAGTGCGCGTGCAATTGTACTGGATCTTTATACAACCGCGTTCGCAACCGCTTTGCCAACGCGGATCCGCTTCCAGTGGGAATGAGCGGTACGTGTTAATGGACGAAGAGCGTATTGGTGCGGGTCAAGTATAAAAAAAAAAGAATAAAAAGAAAAGATATAGGACAAACACAGCACAACCACATCTTTTAGATGTGGTGGTGTTGTTTTTGTCCTACATTTTTATTATTCCTTTAGCCTCTTGCCTTCTAATAACTATAGTGTCACTTGTGCTACCCCTTATGGACCATAAAGCCCGACAACAAGGGTGACTCGAGGTTTCGGTTTCGGCGCTTGTTTAGCGCTCTCTCTGGCGGATGACAAAACTCCCCCTGTTTCTCCATTTACCTTGGGTAGTTGGCTCGTCTTTGTTTTGCTGTCTGACAGAAAAAGAACGCTCCATTTAGCCAAAAAAAGGAAAGCGGTCGCTTGTGAGCGTTAACACTAAATCAACATGTCTTTGGTGCAGATGTCGACTTTAACAAACAAAAAGATACAAATCCTTTTTTTTTTCCTTGGAGGGACTAATGTTTAGGCATATGTAACGACGAATCTTTCAAACGCTTCGATTATTTAGGAATTAGACGATGGTTTGATGGGCATTTGCAGGAGCGATGAAAACAGTGATCGAAAAAGGAATATCGACCTATTCGTCATTAGCTGGATTTTTTGTTTCATGCTTCAAAGCAAAAAAAAAAAAAAAAAAGAAAAAAAAAAAAGAACAAGTAGTAAAAATTAAGCAATCATCATCGTGAACGCCTACTGTTACATCTGGTGTCCTCCAGGGTAGTGTCTTTGCACTTCTGTTATTCTTAATATTTATATAGATGACCTTCCTCCTTCCATAAAGTACACAGTTAGGCGTTTCGCCGACGATTCCATTATTTGCCAAAAACGCATTACAAATAACGCTTCAACTATACTTACAGGCGGTTTAAATACCATATCTTCATGGTGCCGTGTGTGGCAGATAAACATTAACACTCGCAAATGTAAACAAATGCCCATCACAAAGTCATCTACCAGAACACAATAACAATATTTATTATTCTCACAATGCTTGGAACATGTCTTATCGTGAAGAAAATTGAGAATACATTTTACAGAAACTCTACCATGAAACGAACTTTATGTTCTTCAACGAAACAAATGTGGTAGGCATGGGGTTAGTCTTGAAGCAACACAAAAGCGTCTTCTTTTTTTCCCGGGCTCCCTCTATCACTCACGATGGAAAATAAACAATGTCTAAATTTAAATTACTCTCGCGTAGCCCTCAATGCAATGACTGGCCAGTGTCCCCCTTGCCCGCAGCTATCAATGCCAGGCGCCCGGAACCGGGTCCAGGCTGGGAGCCACGGCCGCCAACCAGCAGCCCAACTGCAGACTCATCCTCAGGGGACACGCCAACTCGGACATCAGGGACGTCAAGAAGGCCAGGCAACAGGTACACCATTTGGCCAAGCATGGGCCATTGACTGGCGATGGTCTCTTGGCCAATGGGCAAAGAGTGGCCATTCATGGGCCAATGCTAGGCCGATGGCTGATGGACAGTGGTCATTGGCTCATGGCCAGAGATTCATCGGCCATTGGCTGGACATTGTCTGGCCACTGGCCAAAAGATCATTGCCAGGTATTGGCCAATAATTGGCCAAATCTGTGCTGCTTGGGACCTCGTAGAGGGCAGCTAAGGAATCTTGTAAGCGCCAACAGACACGGACACAAAAGAGTCCTTGAGTGTGTCCCCTTCTTTGTGTCCGTCTATATTTGCGCTTACAAGTTTTCTGACTCTGCACTAACTAACCCATCGAGGATTCTCGTTGTAACTATCCTTGGCCACCTTTTTCCCCTTCCCACTTCCTTTCAACACGTGGCTCGACTGATATATATATAAAAACAAATCTATCACTATTAGTATTACGAGGATTATTGGTTAGTGCATCTCTGTATATTTGACATATCTGTCTAACCTAATGTGTGACTAAATGAATCACGTGAATAGTTATCCGCTCGTGTAGATCGTTTCCTCGATCTTTCGTTCACTCGAATGCAAGTTCCTTCCGCCGTCTGAGCACATTCTTGTATTGAAATATTATTCCCCCGATTGAACCCGAATTAGTTCCGAATGCAGTCGCCGGTAACAATACCGTGCCACCATTTTCAGATAACCTAGGCGGACTGCGTTCTGCGCAGAATGTTTACAACAAAACCAACAAATCCCTCGACGAGCAAAGTGTCTCGGAGGATAGATTTTTAGCAGTGTTACCCCAATACACCTTTTCCGGGCGCCGCAGGTCATCAAGATGCTCATCCTGGTGGTGGTGCTGTTCCTGCTCTGCTGGGGGCCCCGCCTCATCATGGAGATCGTGGTCAAGTGCTGCCTGAACGTGTTCAACCACGGCGTGTACGCCGTGCGCGTGCTCTTCTACCTGCTGCCGTTCGTGCACAGCTGCCTCAACCCGATCGTGTACTGCTTCATGTCGAGCAAGTTCCGACGGCGCATGCTGCGCTGCTGCCAGCGCACCTGCCTGGCCCCGCGGTGCCCGGCCAGGTCGGCCACCGCCGCCAGCCGCACGTCTTCGACCCGCAACGGCACGGCCAGGCTCGGGTCCACGTACACCTTCACGTCGTACGCCACGTCCACGGTGGCGCTTCCTTCGTCCGTCGGACCCCTCGCCGGAGATCAGCTGGACTTGTGACAACTGCGGAGCCAGCGGGGCGGCGGCCGCGGCGGCACGGTGCAGAAGCGCTGCTCTAAGAGGGCCTCCGGGGCAGCCAGTAACCTGAGTATCGAGGAGTTCCTCTGAGGTGTCCAGGCCGGTGTGCCACCCGGAAGACAAGGCCTGAGCGTGACGTCATCGTTAGTGGACCCGCCCCAAGCAGCGAACAGGCTGGAACTCGGCGAAAGTCACCACGGAGGTCCGTCATGGCGACGCTGCAGTGTGTTAGCTTCGTGCTCGTTGGGAGATGCATGCTGCAAGACGCACTGGCGGCTGTAGTGGCGTGAACTAGGCTTCGCCGAGACACTAGGGATGACGTCCCGCATCCTCAGTTGCTGAACGTTGCCTCAGCGTGTGAACGAGTCCTCCCGGTCCTCCCGTACGTGGCCGAGGTTATGATCTCCGGCTCCTCTTTCTGACCGGGAATGACTTGACTTGCGAGTGGAACGATCGTATTGTGCGCGCTGCGGTTTAGGCTCGTGTTTCTTGATTGCAGGAGGCCGTCTCTTCTGTCTTAAGGTACATGCATCCAGATATTGCTTTATGTACATCTTTCTTTTCGACTGTGGTTTTTAATTTCTCGACACCGAGGTGCTCGCGAAATAAGCCGTCTCAACGGTCAGTTGACCAGCGGTTCACTTGACCTGCGCTGAAATGAGAAAATAGATAATATACTGAAAGAAATTACAGTTTGGGGCTGCACGTCGCCGTAAGGAAATTAATTTTTAACGAGGAAAAAATTGTACCGGGAAACACCTCAGAACAAATACTTGGAAGTGACAGCGAAGGGGATCTGGTGACGAGAAGTGGAAATGTCACCCACGAGCCAACCGCGGACTACAGTCACCGCCATGCGTGTTTTGCCTTTTCCATTGGCTTCAGCCTGCGAGGATTGGACCCGCAGAAATAAGAGCAACCTGTCAATTCACGCATAATTTAAAACTGGAGACGAACGGACAACATACACACGAGTATCCAACTCAGACGAATAAATTTGATTGAGACGTGATGTTTTGTACGCCGGTTTTGAATTATGTGCAACATAAACCGCTCACCTGTTTGTTAACTTTGTCTTCAACCTGTCTATCGTTAATTGTTTCTTGCGTAATATGTCAAGGCTTAAATTCCCAACTAGAGGTAGTTTCAACTGCTCTACGGAAACTTCTATGGTTTGAGGGCTTGCGATCACCTAAACAGATTTAATCGCAGGGTGCATATAACGCTAACCAAATACAAAAATTCTGGTACTCACACCGTTTATATGAACGTTAAAGCAAGCAGGAGACCGGCGGAAACCTGGGACAAACAGACGAACGGAACTAGCTGTACCCCGGAGACAAAAAGACAAGAACGATGATCTTTTAAGTAATGGAAAAGGTCGGGTCGGGGAGGGGGGGGGGGGGGGGTCATTATACGTCATTTTGTGACACTGCCTAGTGACGTGCGAGCAGCCTGCAAGCTCTGGCCGATCAATAAAAGCCCCAGGGGGCAAGGAGGAGTATTCCGCCTTGTTTACGCGGAGAGCTGTCAGATTCGTAAGAACGTAGAGGGGGTCATCGTCAAGCAGAATCCGTGGATGCCGAGATCTAAACCAAAGCTATCAAGATAGTACGAAGGAGGTTAAATTTCACCACCATCAAATAAAAAGAAAAAGCGAAAAACTTGGTTGGGTGAATGCTCACAGATGTTAGGCCAGAGAAACGCTGTTGCAAAGCTAGGACTCGAAAACGAAAAGTTCGGCAGCCACAGGGACATGTGAGTGATGCCGCTAATGCTTCATTTGAAATGTTATGCGGTCGTACGCTGCCCAAGTCACTGGCGCGCAGGCGCCTGCTGTAACCACTTCTTCCACGAGTGCTCTGATGACCCTGACCCATGCAAAGCATCGCTGGCTCAGCCCAACCCTACTACATGGCGAGTATATTTAACCTTAAAATTATTTTTTTCTTTTTCACATTATGCACTGTCACACAGTCGGTGCTTCAAATAATGTTCGTATCTGCAAAGAGAACGAAGTGTGCTTTTTATCTACACTTCGTTTCTCGTTAAATAAAAGTGCGAGCGTAGCAGAAGCTCAAGAACAAGCTCCGAGTTTTCAGTGTATACCTCCCGACCACGGGCAGCCGTGCAGCGCAACCATCGCTCAAGCATAGCCTCCTATATGCTGATAAGACCTAGCAGATGGCCACGAGAAGCGGTCGCCGAAATGGAAAAGGTGGAGCGGCAGACAACGCACGAAAGGAGAGCCACGTGACTGGCGCCCCGCTGCGGCGAGACGCCGAAACACACTTCTCCCGAGCGGACAACAGTGCTTCGGGTCCTCGCCGCTGCAAAAGCTGTGCGCTGACGTCCAGGTTCCCCAAGAAATGGCCCTTTGATGGTCTGTGCTACCAGATCCTAGCGCTCCAAATCTGCGACCGAGCACTTTATGGCTCCGTCGTCGAACTGCCAGGCTTTGTGAGTATAGAGGAGGCTATGGCCCATGGCATCCTGCTCGCGCTATCTTCGACTTCGCTTCTCACATAAGGTGAAACAAACTGTTTGAATTTATGCACACGTGGTGGTGCGCGTCCGCAATGGTGAACCCTTCTACTGTTTGCGATGTTCCTTCGTCGCGTTTCCAGGCACACGGGAGCAGTATGAATCTCAAACAAGCCGCGTATTGCATCGCTCTTCTTACGGGCTCAGTTGGAGCTGCAGCGGTTACGAGGCACCATCGCGAGCTTGTCTTAAACTTCAAGCCAGAAACGAGAACAAAGAACTGTACTTTAGGCACGTGTGTGATCAGACTCAAACTCGCGAGGGCTGACCCGACGCGCCCTGTTTCGTTTGGTCTGTGCCCGGTTATAGTGGCGAATGAGAAGAACGTGCCGAGATCTGCGCCGCACTTCGGAATCGCTTCGCTGTGCCAGCGCTTCAGTGGGGCTAAAGCAAAAGTCGTACCGGCGCGGAAATGTGACCTCGGCGAATGTTGCCTCTCGCCGGAAAGCTCTCTTGTGTCATCTGTAACGTTGAAATAAAGCCTCTTTTATTTCCCGAGCTACTTGACTCTTTCTACTGCATTGCAAGTCCATAAGCCTGAGTACTATTACCGGTGCAGTTGCCATCATCCTTATCACCGCCATTACGGGCATGCTAATTCAACGCCCGGTAATAAAGACCGCCACAGATGCCGGCCAACTCGGGCACGTCGCACGTGACTCGCCTGTGTCGGCCGCCGGCGGATGGCCTCGCCTTCCGCCATGGATCATCGGCGTTATCGCTGTGGCGGCCCACAAACAGGAGCCCTTAATGTACGCCTTTTGCCTCTGAGAGCACCGGGCGAGTTGGGAGGGGCGGCGGTCGAGTTTTATTGCCCCTTGCACTCAGCCCGTCACCGCCCGTCGAGCAAGGGCACCACATACGACACGGAGACTACGGCAGAACGGATGAGTTTCAGGACGTCCTTAAGGCCTGTCCCAACAGGATACTACACATATCGTGAGGCGATACGACTCCGACATAAATCAAACAACGCACCGCTTCCTTCAATTTTTTTTTTGTTCTTTTTTTTTTCTGGCGGGGAGAAAGTTTTTTTTTTTTTTTTGTTAAAGATCGTCTCTTTTTTTCAGGGGGCATTGAACGTGCTCATCACGTGGGTCAGGACAGTCACTCACAATCAGACTTGTACGTAGCTCAACTACTATACTCAGGTTACTGCAGTTTAACTACTTTTCTGATTAGTTTAATGACTTACAATTCTATTTTTATTTCGGTAATCAGCAGCTCACTTTAATTACTTTTTCCGAGTAGCTTCTGATCAAATGAAAAATTACTTTCGAATTTTAGTGTTTTTTTTCCTATCAAGAAACATTCCTGCACAAAAAGAGATAAGACGTTGGAGGATCAGCTGATATGTGCAAAGAGGACGAAGCGTGTGGCGGATAAAAAAAAAGGGGGGGGGGGGGGGGAGAAGAAAGTGGTTTTGGGCAGTCCGAAAACCCCCAAAATTTTCCCGAGGTTCCCACTGCAACAACCCTGCTACGAGGCGCGTGATGCCGTATGTGCCTCTGGATCGGCGTTTTATTTTACTCTGACGACTGTATTGTAACTTGCGGCACTCGCACTCCAGGAACGAGCTTGATCCAGCGTCCAGTGGCGACGGAAGAGGGGGGGGGGGGGGGGGAGGTAAGTCTTTTTTTGTCGTTAGATGGTTTACCAAATACCGCGCAACAATTAAGTTCTCATCACTGATCAGTGGTCTGGCTCATTATCAAATGTGACATCAAGTTTGAGCGTGGTTCGCCTAATTGCGATTGATCAACAGATTGCACATGACCATACGTGCCGCGCTTCAAAGATTTTCAATCTCGCCGTCTTGTAGTTTTTTTTTCGAAGACCATCCTTGCTCCATAGCGTTGCTCTATTTGTGCTGCCATGTAATCAATTGTGGACAAAATACTCGATAAAAGTATTTAAGTTAAGTTACTAAATACCGGCTTCATAAAATATTAAATATACTACTAAAGTTAATTTCACTGGAAAATGTCTTGAGTAGAGTGGAATTACTTAGAAATGTAATTCAATTACTTTTGAAGATACTTCCACATTTTGTAATTTGTATCGACGTCATTGAAAACGACAATTACACAGCTACGCAAGTCTGGTTTACCATAATGGTTTATTAACACACAATAAAACAAAACGCCAAAAAAAATATACATCGTAGGGCTATTTTGTGCAGTTCAACTCTAAGGAGCAGGATATTCTCACGAATGGACAAATGATGAGTCGGTGAATAACTGAAGAAACGAAACGTTTAATGAAGCTCAAAACAAAATAGAGAAAGGCTAGCGTCGCAGACGTCGATGTCGACGAAACAGCGGGATTGAGCTCTTGGGCGAGACTGACTCCGGACCACAGCGTTGGCTGTCAAACGCTGTTGATTTTGTGTAACCGAGCACTGTATATTTGAATTTAAGTTGTACCACTCCTGCCAA